ATATATTACAATTATAATATTTAAAACATAAAATATTGAAAAGAATTTAATCTCTATCTCACTGTCTTACATAAATAAATAATAAAATGAAAAAATATATGACAGTTGAAACAAATGTTTAAGAGTCACTACAATTCTTAGATTCAAAATTCATACTTGGTTTATCATGAACTAGAGAAAAAATATGACCGATCCAAGCAAAAGATGGAACATGCCCAATCRGAAACCAAATCTGTTACCACTGGATGACTGTGTTGAGTCTCCTGTGGGGTTTGCAGCACTCAACGTTGTGGTGATTGATGTAGGAGTTGGATTATCTGGTGAGCGATTACAKAGARTGSTGTTACAAGGAGGCATTGTACCAGTGATGGTACCAGTAGTATTCAGGAATACCAGATCAAACAGGCTTTGAGCATCTCTATTTATATTTGGAGTGACACAACCCTGCAGTGGATGAGTTGTAGACTGCTTTGTCACTGTGGAGAGAAAAAAAAAAATTAAAAAGTTGATTTAATTTTCCAGCACTTGCTTTTGTTAACAAAACACAACATGGTGTATCTGATTATTAGTTATATTTCACAATTTATTGGTCTAAATATTTATTTATCTCTTTAAAGTGAAAAGTCCTGAATATAATTTTGTACAATTTAAGAAACCGTTTAAGATGTTGAGGTTTGTTTGAGGTATTGAGTTTTGTATATTGAAGAAATTTATAGTTGTTAGAGGTTAGTACTGATGTTAAAAGCACAACACTATATTTTTAGGTTTTCTTTTTATAATGTTGATAATGTTTAATCTATTGTGTTTTGATTGAAAAAGGTTCATTACATGTCCGAATTATATAACAACACATAATCAACCGTTATGAGAACAGTAGGTGAGAATTTTGTCTGAATGCCTGTGATTCAGCCGTAGGTCATAGGGGGCGAACTCAGGCATTGAAGACCCTGTATAAATTGATTAACTTCCTGGTTTTTCGCCAGTGTGGTTTCCTGTCAGCTCCGGTGACATTAAACCTTACTCAGTTCCAGAATTCTGGGGTTATATGTTTTGATTCCTTCTACAAATCYTTTTATTTAACAATGGTGGTTTTAATATTGACTTCAGTCTATTGAATACGTATTTTTCTTACAATACATTGAAGTACCAACTTGTGTTTTGAAGCAATAACTATTTTTAAGATTGAAGTACTTTCCATCAATTTTAGATAATATGTAATTTAAAAGGGATTTGGATGCTAGATTAGTAAACTGTCCAAACTAAAAATGTACCATTTGCACTGAAACAGTTGGTCTCCTGTCCTGAACATTGTACTGTAGACAGACACTTAGAAGTGTTGGCCTCACAAATAAAACACATCAAGTCATTGGAGGGTTGAATGGTGGGAACTGTTGCAAAAAATAAATAAATAAAAAACACAGAATGAAGTTTTACAAACAAGTAAAATGAATAAATCTTAGACTTGTGTTTTCTGTCTGTGATGAATCTTACAAGGTAGAGTTTGTGTGTTGCAGTTGTCAGTGTTGCAGCAGAAAGCAGAAGCA